GGTGGTGGCTGGACAGCCATAGAAAGAAGTATGAGGGTGGTGGCTGGGTAGCCACAAAAAACGTTTAGGAAACAAAACCTAAAAGCTAAAACTGTGGACAAGTTTTTTGGCCAAGGAAGGTAAGGAAGCAAAACCTACTGACTAAAACTGTGGACAATTTTTAGGTGAAGGCAACCCAGGAAGTAAAACCTAATGACTAGAACCGTGGACATTTTTTGGTGAAGTAAATACAGGAAACAAAACCTAGTGACTAAACTGTGGACAATTTTTGTGGTGAAGGCAGACCAGGAAGTAAAACCTACTGACTAAAACTGTGGACAATTTTTAGGTGAAGGCAACCCAGGAAGTAAAACCTAATGACTAGAACTGTGGACATTTTTTGGTGAAGTAAATACAGGAAACAAAACCTAGTGACTAAACTGTGGACAATTTTTGTGGTGAAGGCAGACCAGGAAGTAAAACCTAATGACTAAAACTGTGGATGTTTTTTGTGGTGAAAGCAATCCAGTAAGTAAAACCTAATGACTAAAACTGTGGCCAATTTTTGTGGTGAAGGCAACCCAGGAAGTAAAACCCAATGACTGAAACTGTGGACAATTTTTTGTGAAGGAAGGTAAGGAAGCAAAACCTAGTGACTAAAACTGTGGACATTTTTTTGGTGAAGGCAATCCAGGAAGTAAAACCTAATGACTAAAACTGTGGACATTTTTGTTTGTGAAGGAAGGTAAGGAAGCAAAACCTAATGACTAGAACTGTTGACATTTTTTGGTGAAGTAAATACAGGAAACAAAACCTAGTGACTAAACTGTGGACAATTTTTGTGGTGAAGGCAGACCAGGAAGTAAAACCTAATGACTAAAACTGTAGACAATTTTTAGGTGAAGGCAATCCAGGAAGTAAAACCTAATGACTAAAACTGTGGGCATTTTTTGTGGTGAAAGCAATCCTGGAAGTACAACCTAATGACTCAAACTGTGGACAATTCTTGTGGTGAAGGCAATGCAGGAAGTAAAACCTAATGACTAAAACTGTGGACATTTTGTGGTGAAGGAAATTAAGGAAACAAAACCTAGTGGCTAAACTGTGGACAAATTTTTTGATGAAGGAAATAAAGGAAACAAAACCTAGTGACTAGAACTGTGGGCAGCAATCTTTGGTGATGCAAATTCAAGAAGCAAAGCCGCATGACTCAAACTGTGGGCAAAACATTTGGTGAACACAAAAAAATCTAATGACCAAACTTCTGGTGAGTAAAATCATCTGATGAGAGTGGTGGCTGGATAGCCATGACCAAAAAAAGACAAAACAACACATGAATTCACATGATAACATGTGAAGACACTTGCAAGACATGAAAAGACATGATAAGACATGAAAAGACATGAAAACATGTGAATTCACATGTTAACATGTGAAAACAACACATTTTGGGCTCCAATTTCTCTGGCCAGAGCTGTGTGCTTTGGAACGTGTGATTTCCATTATTTTTTATGGCCAGAACTTTGTGGCCCAAGAGAAGTTTAGAAGGAACTTTGGCAACAGCAATGGCAAAAGCTATGAAGAAGCCAGCTGCCCAAACCAAGGGCAAAAAAAAGGTGATGCAGAAACCTAAAGCCAGACCAGGAATTTTGAAGAAACCTGGCAAGGCAGCAGAAGACACCAAGGAAGAAGAGAAAGAAAATGTGGACATGGAGGAGGGAGAGGAGGAGGAGGTGAAGACTGATGATGACACACTCATGAGTGGGAAGCTCAGCATGAGAAACCTGAAAACCCACCAGCAGCTTTTGGATGCAAAGCTGTGCTCGGCCAATGAAGTGGAGAAGGCTATGAGCAGCTGCTCTGGAAGAAGTTTGAGAAGAGCAGGCTGCTGGAAGGGCAGGATGGTAGCTACAAGGAGCTCACCAAAGGCATGGGGTCCCAGGACAAGAAGCACAAACTGCTGAGGAATTTCATCTTGGATGGAGGAACCCTGGCCAAGAACTACAAGACTGCTGTGTTGAGCATGGAGAAAAGGGAAGAGAAAGGTGGGGAAATAAAGTTCAAGTGGACAAGTATGATGAGAAGGAGGCACTAGCTCCTCCAAGGTGTGAGCTCCAGCTTGAAGCAGGTGGAGAAAGCGATTTCCGGTGGCTGGAAGAAAGAATAGGTGAAAGCTGCTTTGCTGGCCAGCTACTCTGCCCTGGAGAAAAGCAAAAAGGCAAAAAAGCTGGCCAGCTGAAGCTGTGTGGCCAGTCTCAGTTTTTGGCTGGCTGGATAGCCAAAGGCCTCTAAGAAGGCATGACTGCAATAGCAGGTGGCGAACCAGAAGCTTCCTCACATAGCCACCTTACCAGCTCTTCTGGTCCTCTTTGGGGCAGAGCACCCAGTTGCTATACAGGGGGCTGCTAGTGTCCACACCCTTCACCCGTTGGTCAGTGTGAAGCTTCCTTCTCTTGGGCATGGTGGAGGCTTGAACCCAAAGAAGCTGCATATGGTCAGTGGTGGGTTGTGTCCTCTACCCTACACACTCCACCACATTCAAGAGCCTGAGGCCAATTAGGAACTTTTGTTTCAACTTCCAATTAGGAACCCCTTTGGGGTGGTGGCTGCTGTGGATTGCCAAGGCAGAAAGGAGCTGATTAAGAGTCAAGGTTGAGTGGGGTGGCTGGACAGCCACAAGAGTGTAGGGTCGAGTGTGGCACAACAGTCAAGGGTTGAGGGTGGTGGCTGGACAGCCACAAGAGTGTAGGGTTGAGTGTGGCACAAGAGTCAGGGTTGAGTGTGGTGGCTGGACAGCCACACAAGTGTTGGGTAACAAGACAAGCCCTCGCAACTTTTTAGCCCAAAGACATAGATTTTAGAGGAAAGCCATGCCTGTGAAGAGGAGGCATGCTGAGGATGCACTAGAGAGTGTGGAGCTGAAGACACCCTTGGCAGTGTTACTCCTCAACAAATTTGCTTGGGGGAAGCTGTCAGCAACAGAGGTTCAGGAATACGCCGATACTGCGTTGAAGTCTGGAGCCAAGGGTTTCGACCTTGAATGCCTGGCCAAGATTGGGGCACATGGCCAAAGCAAAAACAATTGCGCCAGGGACCTGGAGAGAGAATTCTTCAAGGACTTGGTCACACCAGCCAGGGTGGAGGTAGAGTGCAACTTGAAGGTGAAGACAGTGGATGGGGTGCAGGAGCAGAAGAACAACATTCCAGTGATTTTGCCAGAAGCCTGGCAAGACAAGTTGGAAGCTAACAGCCTTCTTTCACAGTTCACCTGTGGGGAGCAAGCTTTGAAAGAATTTTGGAAGGCGCAGGACTGGGATAACAACCCTCAGCTGCAATGCTGGAAACCTTTCTGGCAAAGAATAAAGAGATCCTTTACTGGAAGCAGCAACCTTTTGGGGTGGATTTGTAAAAGTAGAGCTCCTGATAACCTGATAGGGCCTAGGGTGGCTGGACAGCCACAACACTCCAGCCCAGTCATGTACAGCTGAGGAGGAGACTGCTAGCCTGCTCCATGGAGATGGAGCACCCTTCAGTGAGGTTGATTCATTGATGTGCTTGTCGATGAGGTGTGCTATCTCAGGGGTGGCCATCAAGCTGTCACAGCTTGCGCTGGCTTGCTTGCCCAAGACTGCAGCAACTGATGGATCCATGAAGCCATTGTGGACAGCAATTGCTGAGAGCTTCAGGAGGCTGGCAGAGGAAGGGAGAGGTGTGCTTTTTGTCTTGGCAGGTGATTTGGAATACTTCAGCAGTGAGTTTGGGTGGCCAACTGCCATGTCCAACCACGCATGCCCTTACTGCGTGTGTGACAACTTCTTTGAGGCAGAGGCTTCCAAGCACCCATTCACAGACTTTAGGAAAGAAGCAAGCTGGAAGACAGCACTGAAAAAGGCAGCTGACCCACCACCATCACCTCACCCGCTTTGGAAGGTGCCTGGGGTCAGCTTCTGGACTATGAAGTTGGATTTACTCCACCTGGTGGACCTAGGTGTGGACTGCCACATCTATTGGGCAGGAAGAAGGCTCTAGTGCAAGTGAACCAGATGGTGGCCAAGAAGTACCATGAGCTGGGCATAGAAGCACAGCAGAGAATCCCCAGGCTGAATGTCTCAGACATCTTTGCAGATTACTTTCCTTGCCTGAGGCAGAAGAGTGAGGAGGTTTGCACCAGTAGCAACCCAGCTGGCAGCCACCCTTGCAACCAACCAGAGAGGAAAGCACATGCAAGCTCTCTGTAAAGCCATGGAGGAGGCATACAATTTATGTGACAAAAAAGAGTATGTCTGGAAGAAGGAGACTGCCAGGAAGTTCGAAGAAAGATGCGAGGAACTGCTGGCACACTATGCATGGCTTGCAAGAGACAGCATGCTGAAGGGAGAATACAGGTTCAGTGTTGTCCAGAAGCACCACCTCCTAGCACACTACTCAACACAGAGCAGGTTCCTGGCCCCCAGGGCCTGCTGAGCATATGGAGGTGAAAGTTTCATGTCATTGATGGTGGCAGTGGATGGTGCTAGTGTGCAAAGCACACCAGCCTGGATGCTGCCATCCAAGATTCTCAAGAAATTTTCTTTTGCTTTCCATTTGATCCTGAAAGGGCTATGGAACCCAGAGCAGCTACAGGAAGAAGAAGAGCACTGAAAGGAAAAGAAGGAAAA